AGCCCGCTCAGGCCGGTAAAACCAACAGCCGAGAAACAAGTTCTGTGAGCCCAGCAGTCCCCACTATGCAGTCATGTCCCTCGGTGTTTGGGTTTCAGGTTTGTCTTTTGTTCCCGGAATCTGTTTTCATGTGAGGCAAGAGCACAAACAAAAATAAAAAGGAGTTCTTATGGGAATACTTACAACAAGTCTGTTTCTGTCCGGGGGTTTACATCAGCGGCTTGTTTATTTTTTAAAAATGTGAGTGACTCATCATCTTTAAACGGGAGAGGAGATTACTGTTTAAAAACTAAAGATTAATTTTTTTCAAAAAGAACTAAGCAGAACGGGTAGCTGATAGAATTCAGATCGTCTCTGATGGCTGAGAGGTCCGGGGAAGTCCTTCTGTGACCGGACGGAGGGAAAAGACGATGCTTGAGACCACAGATAAATGTAAAAAACAGAAACCCTACAGCAATTTTAAGTGGCATAAGAATTTAACTTTTGGCCAGAGTTTCAAAGAGATTATCTTTGCTGAAATCATCCCATGATGGAAACTTGCCATGTAGAAAATATCAGAGTTACTGACTTTTCTAAACATAGCAACTTCTTTTTAAATAGAAAATGAACACAATAAGAAAAATAGGCTTTCCATCAGGAAAAGAAACCCTCCCAGTCCATTCCCTTCCTGCTCCGTGCCCTAGAAAAAATTATCTTTTAAAACCTTAACTACAATCAGAAACACGAAGCACATATGCTTTCATTTCTAATTGATGATTATATTAAGATTTAATAGTTTACAATTAAGATGAATATTTTAAGATTACAGCAAAACCAACACCGTTCTCCGTTTGCTCTTCTGTTCTAAGTCTGTAATTAATTTTTTTGGGGGGGGGGCACTTTTTTTTTTAGAGAGAGACCTTAATTAAAACAGCAGCAGATTTGGTTTGAACACAGAGCCTGTTTTGACTCCTTCTGCACTTTGATTCTCTCTCTCTCTGTCTCTCAACCTTCCCTTTCTAAGATGGTTTCTCCTTAAGACAAGCATGTGATCATCAAACAAAAGTTTAAAAGTTAAGAAACTTCTATGCCAGTTGACAAGGTTGACATTTCATTAACTTGTTGGTTCAGCCTTCAAATGATTTTGTGTGGCAAAGCACCCTCTGTTTGGAGTTTACGGGCTTTTTGTTCTTCCTTCCCTCACAGGCTACAGTCATGTTTAATTTGGAATCTGGGCTCCTTTGGCAAATTAGCAATTAGAACAATTTTGTGGGAATATGTATATGTGTCATTAGTTTTCCTGCAAATTAATAGCAAGGGCAGAGGTCAGGCAGAAATTTTCCACTTGACTGCAGCTCCTCTATTGAGACTTGGCACTTGGTTTTGGAATGGCCACAGCTGCTCTCAGCCACCCTCTTCCTCTAGGAACTGTCTTTTAATTAGTTTACCTCATAGCCATCATTACAAATATTACTGCCTCCCCTCCTCGAAATAAAATTACTGTTTCTACAAAATATTCCAGTGACATCTTGCACCACTGCACATTGATGGTGGGGTCACTCGAATGCAGCATTTAATCATTAGATCACCTCCATCCGCGTCTCCTAATTAGAGTCCTTACAATACATTTTTATCTGGTAATTAGCCGAGATTGGCTGCTTCCTCTGTGGCTTATTAGAGACAGCCCAGCAGTGGGTGTGAATCATGGTGTCATTTGTCAAGCCTGGTAAGCCCCCTCTCTCCTCTCCTCTGGCTCAGTGTTTATTTCCACTTGCTATGTTCGAAAGCCTCCAGAAAATTCTACCTGCATCTCTTCCCTTCGTGGATTGTGCTAACCTGGAGGAATTTTATTTTTCACTGTTGCCTTTTTTGGTAGAAATAGTCCAAGTGGTAAGACTTTTGTAAAAGCTTCAAGAGTCAGATTCTTTTTTGCATTTGATGACGTTTTACTGTGGGACTTGTCTGTTCTTAAATGTGGACACCCAAAAAGAGGGGCTTACACTTGCTGAATGTTTACATGAGTCTTGATTTTTTTTTGACAATTAAACTAGAACTGGACTAGGTGATCTTCCTCCCAAAACTGGAAAGGAATATGCCTATTTCTTAAGGACGTTTGTGTTTATAATTTTATTACGTTTTTAAGAAAACCGACATGTTTAGGGTGATGTTCTTGAGCCAAAAAGTAGAGTTAGTCCTCAGAATTGTTCTATAGTTATTGTGCACTTTTGCCTTTGACTAATGTCTGTATCTGATGGCAACCACTTTAAGGGCAGCAATTAGGCGTTTTATTCCTGTTTTTGTCATTAGAGGACCAACTGCCTTATATTTGCTCAGTATATATATTGATTGAATGTCATTCGAAAGCAGGGGTAAAAGCTATCCACTGAATCCTTTTTAAAAATGAGCATACAGAAAAATGAAACTGGCTACTATTTATTTTTCCCATTAACTAGGCATAAGAAGATTATACCAAGAGTCTAGAATCATGTAAATGTGTGGTTTGACTTCAGTTCCATGTTGGGAATATGGACAAGTTATTTAATCTTTTCAAGCCTCAGTTTGCTTATCTGTAAAATATGAGTAATAACATCTCAGACATTAGCGGTGGTATGAGAATTAAATAAAACCACACGGTGGCAGGTGGTTTTAAAACGTGAGTTTCACAAATGTGACCCATGACTTTCCAAAGTGTTCTGAGATTCTTAGGCTTAGCAGCCTCTGAATTATAAAAGCTATGTATTTATGGGTGTCAGCCTTTCATGCACTAATTTCCTTGACCCCCTGCCTAGGCTGAAGCTTATACGTACTGTTCCTAGCCTTGGTCAGTGATTAAGGCCTGAGGCGAGGAAGAGGTCAGCTCCAGCTCTGGCCCCTTGGCTTCTTAGCTCTGCTCCATTCCGTGGCTGCTACTCTGAACTCCCAGCACTCGCTTTGCAAATGTGTGTCATAAAGTCAAGTTTCCAGCACTATCGAAAAAGCAGCTCCCAGCATCGGCCCAGCTTGCTGGGGCATTTGTAAGGGCAGTGCCATCACCATAGCTTGCTCTTCTTGCCCAAGAAGAGCATCGGGGTCTGTTGTTTGCTGAGTCAACATGCCAAGCTGAGAATAAAAAGGAGAGCACAACTAGAAACTCACAACCCAACGTTCAGTTGCCAGCGCTGTGTTTGCATTTTCCCATTAGTATTTCTTCAATGATATTTGATCTTTCTTTTCTTCAGATTCATCGCTTTTTCATGGAACTCCCCCAAACATGTTAGAGAGGGTTCTCATGGCCTTTTTTTTTCAAACTAGAATATGAGTCAAAGTTGGTCTTCTCAGCAAATTGCAACTCTTTTAATATGTTCTTTGATTATGATCTCAGAGGAATCTCATTTTTAATACCTTCCACAAATACTGACTTGTACTTAAGACTATAGCGATGGTGAAATAGACTTATTATGGTAACGGATTCGAAGTCTGGTTTGTGAAAATGTTACCGAGTAAGCCTACTTTGCTGAAGATTCTTGGATTTTGGGGTGACTCTGTATCTGAGATAGCAATTCTGTGTAAACTGGGATAAATATATTGAAATCAACCAAGTTCTTCAGCATTGCCAGACTTAAAATAATATTTCTATTTAACAAATTTTGGAAAAGGGTTATTCCTTTTAGTATTTGTAAGAACAACACTTCCAGGTGAAGATAGGATAAATAGAGAAAAATGAAACAGTACTCATTCAATTTTTTTCTTTCTACTTCAAATAAATAATGTTCATTTCCTTACCCGAAGCAGTAGATTATTTTCCCTTTTTTTGGAACATTCAAAACATGAAGGAAAAAAAATCAAAAATCTCTCAGTTCCAGATCTCTCATATTCCGTAGAAGAATATGCCATATTTTAAAAAATTAGTAGATCCCAATCCTTTATTTGATAGAGCTTAATGAAGATTACACAAGGCTTTTAAAGAGTATTTTCTGCCAACTGATAGGAATAAATGAAGGCGGACTGGATCAGTGCCACTGTTTTTAATGTGAGTAATAGGCCAAACATACTTGCATCACCCAGGAAGTTGCATGATGGAGTTAAGTGGCCTGTCCCCGTGCAGTCCAGTATGATAGCTTCCAGCCACATGGGGCTATTTAAATTTACATTTATTAAAATTAAAAATTTAAATTCATTAAAGTTTAATTTTAATGAAAAGTAAGTGGAAACAGCTTTTTGGTTGTGCTAGCACGTTGTGGAAATTTCTGTTGGACAGTTCAGGTCTATATCAAGGAATCCCAACTGATGGTCCCTAAAATATTCATCTTCACTGGTATTGCTAAGAACTCCATCTATCTCTTTGAGGTTTATGATGCATACTAGTTGATTGAAATAGGTGAGACATCATGATTAAAGAAACATCTTTTTTTTTTTTTTTTTGAGACAGAGTGAGACTCTGTTGTCCGGGCTAGAGTGCAGTGGGGTCAACCTAGCTCAACAGCAACCTCAAACTCCTGGGCTCAAGCGATCCTCCTGCCTCAGCCTCCCGAGTAGCTGGGACTACAGGCATGTGCCACCATGCCCGGCTAATTTTTTCCATATATTTTTAGCTGTCCAAGTAATTTCTTTCTATTTTTTAGTAGAGACGGGGTCACTGTCTTGCTCAGGCTGCTCTCGAACTCTTGAGCTCAAACGATCCTCCCGCCTCGGCCTCCCAGAGTGCTAGGATTACAGGTGTGAGCCACTGGGCCCGGCCTAAAGAAACATCTTGATTCAGAATTTCTTAACTCTCTAGAGTAGGCAACCCCTTCTTGTGTCTGTAAACACCCATTCAGCAGCGTTTGGAAAGGAGAACCTTGCAAGAGATAATTGATACTACATCCTAAGTGAATTGTCTTCACATGGGACTCACCTCGTATTTCAGTTGATTATAAACATATCTGCTCAGAGAAATAACATTATCCAGGGCATCCTCTGTGTTGTTCCTGCGGGCTGTGAGGTGCTTGCTTGGTTGCCCTGTTGTTATGAAGGTCTTCTAAGAGGTGTTCTTTTCCTCACAGCTGAATCTGGTCTCAAGTGTCACACTCTCCAAGTCCGCATCGGAGGCTTCTCCACAGAGCTTACCTCATACTCCAACGACCCCCACCGCCCCCCTGACTCCTGTCACCCAAGGCCCCTCAGTCATCACCACCACCAGCATGCACACGGTGGGACCCATCCGCAGGCGGTACTCAGACAAATACAACGTGCCCATTTCTTCAGGTAGATACTCCATTTCTTGCTCCTGTAGAACTGTAATCTTGCAATTCTTGCAGACCAGCCTCTTTTGAAAAAATGATAATTAATAGGACAATGATTCTTATTTAGCAGATATTGCGCAGAACCAAGAATTTTATAAGAATGCAGAAGTTAGACCACCATTTACATATGCATCTTTAATTAGGCAGGTAAGTAAACAACACAGTATATGGAATTGTATCAAAAGGTATACGTGTACATGGATATATTATATCGATGAAGTAGATTTAAAACCGCTTAGCATGCAAGCATGCTGAAACCTTTTCTATAAGGTTTTTTAAAACTGCAATATATAACATAATTGCTTTTGATTAAGTATTACAATACGATGTGATTATTAGGAAATTCATTTCACACAACAGTGAAAATGAGCCTGTTTAAAGATGGCAAGTCAATTATCACAAGCTACAGTAATCTCTGATCCCTAGAATTAATCTGAGCTCTAAATAATTACTGAGCTTTAATCAGCTAGTGAAATGTTTTGCATTTCTCTTTGATTCTGCTTTATGAATGACTAATAAATTAATATTTCTGTACGGAAACAGAAATAAAAACTCAAAACAATTAGATAATTCCATTTCGAATTTTGCTATTGAACTGTTAAATACAACCATTAATCTTAGATCATTTTATGAAACCTTTCTTAGGATTTAGCTCTGAATCACAGTTATTTTAAATTTTCAAGGAACTGTATGATGATGATTCTGCTGATTTGGTCATAAATTATCTTCTTCTATTACTGTTTGCTTCCCAGGCCATTCTTGAATCTCCAGAAAAGCAGCTAACACTAAACGAAATCTATAACTGGTTCACACGAATGTTTGCTTACTTCCGACGCAATGCAGCCACGTGGAAGGTAAGGTTTCTCTCAGGCCTGGTTAGTCTTGGACCTTGACGTTTATAGAACAGTTTGTTGTTGACAAAAATGCATTTATACTATAAGGAAGTTACATTTATATTGTTTCGATACTCTCAAAGTATCCAATCTTTAGGAGTATTTGATTGGGTAAATAGTTCCATTGTGATTGAAATGCTCCGATGGAAGGAAGCCCATTGCACGGGCATTCAGTGTACAGGTGTCCAACCAGTAAAATCATGTCTCTCTGGTTGGAATACGTAGGGAAAAAGCAGATGCCACTGTTGCCAAAAGGTTGAGGTTGTCCTATTCTTACAAAAACCTCATGCTCTTAGGTCTTTAACCACAGCCAATATTTGCAGAGATGCATAGTTAACTTGTGTTTTCACCAGTAGGAACCTGGAGAAATGATCAAACTTGACACTGCCTTCATTGGTTGGATAAAAGCTCATTAACACAATTAGTAGAGAAAGCTGTGCAATCCAAATACTAGCACTGTATATGGGAGTTACTACAAGAGAATACAATGTATTATTAAGAGTTCTGTTTTGTTTTTTTATTTTTAAGTCAAGAGATTGTCTCTCAGAGGCTTATAGATACCCTGAGAAAGAAAAGTAGCTTCTGGACTATGGAACTTCATTATAACACCATTTGCTATAAAACAGGTCAAATTCCATAGTTCTATATTGGATGCTCCCAACAAAGCTTGGGGACATATGGCATGCCTCATTCCCAGTTCAGCAGTTGGTTCGTAGATTCCATTGGTATTTGTTCTATTGTATTAGAGTAAGCTCTCACAAAATTTTGAACTTTCTTTCTCATTTTCAATTTCTTGGAGTCTAATATTTTTGCTTATAGAAGGAAGCAGGTACACTCTGACATTTTGATTTTCCATTTTTACTACCTGGAATTCTTGTAATCCCTGAACCCCAAAATATTTAGAAACATTTAATGCAAATATTTTAGGATATCTTTGTATGTCATTAGTCTAAATATGATAAGGATTTATTATAAGGATGCAAGGGAAACTTGCTTTGCTTGGAATAAATGCCTTCCTTTTTAATTATTTAATTTTATATGGGAGTAAAACAAAAGAAAAAAAACCCAGAAAAACATTTATTCTGTTAAGTTCCTGATAAATTAGCATTTTAAAAGAAAATGAATATAACTGTAGAATTAATTCATCAACTTTACAGAGCTGTGACTATCTATTATGGCCCATATTTTCATTTCCATTAAGACACAGGGGCGCTGAAGGGAACCTATGTTCAAAATCTTACCTTTTTTTCCTCAGCCTGCCCTGGGAGATAAAACATAAAGGATCTTTAGCTATGAATGCTTTTAAAAATTTAGGAAGTAGAAGCAGGAAGCCGACATTTTCTTGAGATTGCCTTTTATAAATAGAAATGATCAAATTTAAAAATAATTACCAGTTGTGAATATAATATTTAAGCTCAGATCTTCAGATTGAACTTTTTCATTTTGCAAACTGCAGGAAAAAGTGTCATTAATATAAACAACCCTAGATGAAGTACTTAATGACTCATAAATACGTGTAATTTTCTCTACGTGTCCTTATTTGTACTGTGATCTGAGACAAAAGATGAAATGCCCAGTGAAAGTTATGACTGAAAAGAGCTTACTCATCTTTTTTGAAAACTCATGATTTCTGGTTGCTTTCTGCTTAGATGTGCAGTCTTGGAAAACAAAACTTAAGTTTTGGCTTTGCATCGTTATTTACATGGCTATATTGTTCAGCCAGGTCTACAGAAACCTTTTTACTGGAAGTAGCTTCTAAGCTCTTTCAGTTCTGTACATTTTGATACTTATTTTAAACATCAGACAGTGATCAGGATTGGGAGCAATGTTGACTACTTTCCCACTTATTATCCTACATGAATACATGCTCTATCTGGATTTTTAAAGGAAATTTGGCTTTATTTATTTATTTATTCCACCTCAGTTTTGTTCCAGTAAATAACAGCCAACCTTCCCGTACTGTGCTTTTGTGCAGTATAAAATAAAATGTTTCTTAAAGGCCAGACTACAAGGTATATGCAAAGAATTTTGTCCTACCAAGTATAATTACGGCATGCTAAATATTTTTAGAGTTTTGTTTTGTTTGTTTTTAAGCAAACCCATCAAACTTTTTTGAATGGGGTGTCCTTTGATAGTCACCGGGTATCTCAGACCTACCCCAATTATGCTGACATTACTCAAAACTCATTGGGAATTTATTCTGTGAATCTCCTTGCAAACAGTTCATCACTTCTTATGATAAAATTTGTCTCATTATTGTCTAAATATTCCATGTCGCAGAGGAAAAATTATTATGTAGCTTGAATTCTCACCAATTGTGATTGTCCAAAAATTGAAATGGCTCTCAAAGTATCAAGATCCGCCACTTTTAAGGATAATTCAGGGAGGAAATGCTGCAGGCAGTGGAAGGGAAGGCAGCACAGTGTTTGTGCAATAGCAGCATTGCCGGAATTGAGTGAGGGCTTACAAGGTATATGAAGCGTGATGTATATGTCAGTTTCTCATGCCCCAATCAAGTCACCTACTTATTCAATACAAGAAGAAAGTTTTAAGTAAAATGACCTGGGTCTCTATAATATCCTCATGCCCAGGGTTGATTCTAGATCAGTAAGTTCAACCAGGCAGGACTAAAGAAATGAAACTACGCTTGTTACTGTACCCAGTAAGAGTTGTGGATTCTTCTGAAACTCAAAGGAAAAATGAAATGTTAAAAGCTCTTCACCTTTGAGTTGAGATCTTCCTTTCTGATAGATTACCAACGTCAGGGGTCTCAGCTTAGGAATGAGCAGAAATGACTTTTAACCCTTAAAAAACGAAAGATGAGTGTGTAGAAAACATCAGCTATGGGAATAAAATCATTTTGCCATTGAGAGTTCTACTCATGTGTTTCTTTGGCACTTGCTCAGTTAATTAAGGCACCTGCTTATACTTAGGGCCAACTCTCACATATATTCTGGAAGGTAAGACCTAGCTTGATGAGAGATGCTGATCCTTTGGGGGTCAGTTCACCCCCTGATCCTGTCAGCCAGCTACACAAGGTGGTACTCTCAGTGGTAAAATCCAATTTAGAGTTCTTAATAAAACTGATGGACATTTTTAAAGCTAGAAACTGTCAAGAACAAAACTGTATTTAGCAGTATTAACCAAATCTTCATCTTTCACAGTTTAAAAAAAACACACAGACTACCCCTTTTTCATGGAGATAGGTGGGTTTAGAAGGGGCAGTTTTATGCTTTGCATGTTTTCTTATTTTGAAGTCATAGTAACAATACTTTCAGATTTGTATTGTGGAACCTATTTTGGGCATGTATGCATATTAAAAAGCATTTCTTCTGGTTAGATATTACCAGAGTCTAGACTAATATGCCAAAATTATGAATTCATAATTTTGGTTTATTTTTGCTCTTAGAAAAGACACCCTTAACCACAAGGAGGTCATCCACGGGGGTGGTAGCTGCAGCTCTTGGGGATGGTTTTACAAATGTGGACTGTTAGGCTGAATTTACTGCTGTTTTTGGAGTCTTTTCTTATAGAAAATGTAAATGTTCTCTCTTTTATACTTGCTGCAGAATGCAGTGCGTCATAATCTTAGTCTCCACAAGTGTTTTGTGCGAGTAGAAAACGTTAAAGGGGCAGTATGGACAGTGGATGAAGTAGAGTTCCAAAAACGAAGGCCACAAAAGATCAGTGGGTACGTCCACCATGTTTGAACTTCTTAGCCTAGCTTGGATTGTGCTAACAAGTGTAACGTAGAGGCTTTGGCTGCTAGATGGTGTTAGACCAAAGAACTGGTTTCACGTTGTCTCAGTTAAGGGAAGCAAAAAAGCATTTCATCCCTCCTGTTTTGTATACCCACCAGTCCCCCTGCCCTGCTTGCTGGTCTTTGTTGCATCACATGCTAGTAGCTTTTAGGTGGCAATGCATATTAACCCTCACAAACCATTTGCTTATGCTTATTGCATTTTATTTTCTTTTTCCTGTTCCCTGTATTGGATGTCTGTTCTGCCCCCAACCCCGTCTCCTTTTGTTGCCACTCCATCTCCTTTGCTGCTGCTCCTATCCCAGGGTGCCATTCGCACCAACCTCTCACTGCATAAGTGCTTTATCAGAGTAGAGGATGAGTTTGGGTCCTTTTGGACAGTTGATGATGAAGAGTTTAAACGTGGCCGCCATATTCAACGAGGCCGTCCTCGCAAATACTGCCCCGATGAAAACTTTGACGAGCTTGTCGCACAGTAAGAGCCTTTACTTGCTTTTGTTTTTTTTTTCTGCTGTTGCTTTGGCTTTGCATGGTTGACTCATCCCATGTAGTTTTGCATTTCACCAATAGCAGTGCCACAGCTTTCTGCAACGAAACTAAATTGTGTGATTTGTACATGTATTTCTCTCGTTTCTCTTTGGAACACCAGTGCCTTGAATAATGCTTTTTTGACGTCTTTAATGCAAATATTGGTTGTATTTTGATTCAGCAGCTTACGGGGACCCTACAACTAAATACTTTTGCTTAACCCATAATTCCTCAGAGTAAAAAGGATATTTTTATTTAGAGTTAAAATGTGTACTATTGGAGTAAATTTCTTCTTATTTGTTCACTCAGTATAATAATGTAATGAATGCTTAAAATGTTCCAAGCATAGGGAAAAAATGGGTAATATCGAGTATACTTCCTTTAAAGGCCACTGATAAATGTAGGTCATTTCCTACTGGAAGGCACTTTTCCCTCAGTATGTCCTACATAATTTTTTAGTATTTTAATTTTTACTAAGCTGGAAATTTTCTTAAAACTATCTCTTGATTTTATTTGGTCAGTGAATGCAGATGGCATCAAATATTCTCAGACTCTCCTAGACCTGGCTGTATAACAAGAAAGACATCAAGCCAGCCTCTCACCTTAGTTAGGAACAACCCTCCCCTCTGTCTTCTTGGGCAATAACCGTGCCTTGGAGATCTTCCTTAAGAGCCTTCCTGCTGTTCTTCTAGCAGTCCTTGTAGCATTCAGATCAGGAAGATACTTAAGAGCCAGATTCTTCCCGTGCACTCTCAGGAACCCCTGCTGTCAGCTCCAGCCCAGCCTCCAGGCTGCTGCCCTCCTGTTGGAGTCTGGAGTCCGAGGAACTGCTAAAAATTTGCAGACAGGCCTCTGGTGGGAGTACCCAAGCCCATTACTACTGAAGCCAGAGTTTTACACTTAGTTTCCTTGAATAGCAAAGTCTGTCCCCAGAGGTGTGCACACAGACCAGCCCTATAAAAGTAGGAAGAAAGCCTGAGTTTTCTTAGGTCTTGTTAACTGGGGGTAATTTCTGATTTGGAAGGACACCAGCAAGCTTAAAACTTAGCTAGGAACTCGGGAGTCGATTGTGTTTAACTTTGAGTTTTTATCTTTTTCTTACACAGTAACCCTTCCCTTATTAAAAACATGCAGAGCAGCCACGCCTACTGCACACCTCTCAATGCAGCTTTACAGGTAAGATTAATGGCCGTCCCGAATATTCAGCAGAGGCACAGGTCTCCCCACTCATTTCAAAATATATTAGCCTCGCTCTAATTAGATATTAAATTTTAATTCCGTTAAACTTTTTTCTTAAGTGCACAAAGCATCGCACTCCCTGGAGGCAAACACATCGGGCTGCTTCAGCATTAGTAGGATGCTTAGCATTTTGAATATTGTGGCAAAAAAATTAAAAGTTCACTTATTAATATTTATCAGCAGTATCATAATTTCCATCCTCTTATTTCAGAATTTCACTTGAGGCAAAAATACCACAAGTGTAATTACTCTAGCACAGCTATTAATGTGCCGGATGATAGGCCACTGTGTCACATGACCTTCTATTGTTCACTGGTTTAAAGAGAAAGCAGAGCTTTGTATTTCTTCTTCTTCTTTCAAAGTCGATATTTTAGCATCTTTTCTTTGGTCTTGGGGGGTGGCAACCTGGCTTTGGCTCACTCGGTAAAAGTAAACTGTTTTTGTTTGAACAATTGAGGTGTTTAAAAAAAAAACTCTTTAGATTTCTGGCAGACTGTGCAAGATTACATAATCATTACACAGAATGTGTGTTTCCTCCTGACAAACCAAGCACTCGTTATATCACCAACGGTACTGGGGGCCGAAGGCACTGGTTTTGAACAGGAAATAGATCACCACCCAAATGTGAGCTATCAGGGCAGCTCCTGCATGAAGCAAGCTTTTTATATATTGCATGTCTCAGTTCTCAACTGGACAGAGTACTCCATCCAGTATCCCTCCAGTAAAGTACCTGGGCGTAGTGCTCAGGTCCCCCTCAGGAGTTCATGGATAGGCAGTGTCGTCTTGGGCAGTGGTCCTGTTGTTCTAGAAGACAGGCCAAGAGAATCTTGAGAACTTTGAAATGACATATTCTGTAGGTAAATCTGACATTTGTAATATATAATACCATTACAGATCTTTGCAGCATGCATTCTCCATGGGGGGACATATCACCCCAAAATTGCTTCTTGTGCCCTTCTAGAGGGCCATAATACATAAACAGATATTAAAATTTCTCAGGGTGAGGGCACAAAAGGGATGATAATGAAAAAACAATTGGGACCCTGGGCATTCTGGGAGGAGGAGGTACTAACAGGCACCCTGGTTCTCGCTGTTCATTAAACAAATAGGTATCGAGCACCTACTCTGGGCCCTATAGAGCATTTTTCCCAGATCACCAGCAGAGGCTTACGGCTCCCAAGAATGGATGACACGACTTTTACACGGTTTTGGTTTAGAGGCAAATTCATTGGACTTAGCATTTCAGTAATTATATTTATTTATTTTTAGCCCAAACCAGATTTAATAGGAGAAACTACTTTCTGTGTCTCTTTTAATTATTTGTAGTTTACACAGTAACTTTAGAAGAGTAAATGAAAGCACGCTTAGATGCCGCCACTGTAAATACCATTCATTAGTAACTTATTTTCCCTGGAGTCTTGTGAAGTGTGAATTTAAAGACTGCTCTATCTGGAATAGTATTAAGATTATAAGCACATTTTACATTCATGAGGCAGAAAGGCAAAAAAAAAAAAAAAAAAATGATCCTCCGTTCTGCCGCCACTGTAAATACCATTCATTAGTAACTTATTTTCCCTGGAGTCTTGTGAAGTGTGAATTTAAAGACTGCTCTATCTGGAATAGTATTAAGATTATAAGCACATTTTACATTCATGAGGCAGAAAGGCAAAAAAAAAAAAAAAAAAGTGATCCTCCATCCTCTGGATTCTCTTAACTATGTGACTAATTTCAATTAGTATGCCTTATAGAACTGTTCATGTTTCGTCTCCAAAACGTTTGTTTTTGGCATCCTCTACACCCTTTCTTGTTTCCCCTAGTAGCCTAAAACCATCCTGCAGTTTTCCAAGAACGTTTTGTGTCCATAATGAGGCAAGGTGAATTAAATGGATATAAATTCATGATTTGAGGAGTGGGTTGTTTCCCTCTCTTCCGTGAGTTTGGAGCCTTGATGAGTAGACAGTCGCATAAGACAACTTTCTACTGTGCAAATTAAATCAAGCTCTGCCAGCAGGCCTTCCTCCCCATTATCGTCCATTTCCATTTTTCAAGACAAGTAAAAATAATAGTGGAACAATATCTTTAAAAAATTACTAGAGCAACATAATGCATGATATACAATATATAAAATAGGACAGCAGAATCCACTACAGAAATAAAACATGGGACTCGGGACAGATTGCATTATGCTCTGAAAAAGTGAAGTAACTAAGGGTAACCGTAAAGCTTCGTATTTATAGACTGCCTTTTCCCCGAGGAGCTCAGAGTGGTTAATGTTCCAGGAGCGCTGGTACTTACGGACTTCTGCACCATTGCTTAAGCAACTTCATTTTTTGGCAGAGGTGCCAGCTTGATATGAAACCACATACTGTGCACAGGACAGTTTATATAATTAAGTCCGTTTTTGTAACACACCTGCTTCTCAGTGGACATCAGCTACAGAAGAGAGCCACTTTGTTAGGCATAAGCAGTTGGTGAAAATTTTGCTAACTTTGAGTGGGTTACTCTGATCATTTGCTCAACAAAGAGTGTCCGAGAGGCTCTGCTACGGATCAGGCACTGGGATCGTTTTTCGGGCCAGTTGATCCCTTTTTAGAGGAACAAGGCTGGTTTTCATCACTTGCATCTTTCTTGTCTGAGAACCAAGGGATCAATATAAATGCTTGCCTTTGTTTGCCCTTCGCCTCTGTGGCTGCTGGGCCTCAGCCCATGTTCTGTGGTCCATTCCCAATCAGCCATGACCTTGACTTTGAGAGCCAAGGAGAGTAAATGCTCATCCCAGTGAGGTTGTCCCATCTATGGGATGACCAACTCATCCCAATGAGCACATTCTTAGAACCGTTTCAATTTTGTCTTCTCAATTTTCACTTTGGGGAGCTATTAAAATAATAAGCTAGTAACAGCCCCACTTTTGCCACATTGTGACCATGTAATAGTGAAATTAGCTTGTGAGAGCTGATCTTGTGGTATTTCCAGAGGAAAGAGGCTCAATTGATGGTCCCAGCAGAACTTGCATGACTGAGAGAGGCGTGACCACTGTGTTGTCTCAAATAAAGGCAGTTAAGATGCTTGTCCAGCTGCAGTTTGCAAGAAATAATTCTGGCAACTGTTCTTCCAAAAAATGAAAAAATGCTTTATTGTAATTACAAGAGAGCTGTTGAAAGAAGTACTTGATGCAAATTATTTGACAAACTGTGGGAGAGTGGGGAATGTTCAGATTTGCTGTTCATCAGAACGAGTTCACCATATTTGGAAATAAAAACAGGATTTTCCCCCCTGCTTTTTGAAAGAAGGCAGTTATATACATGCAGAAACGGAGGGGAAGAAGAGCTGTGGGCTTGCAGAGGCCTAGCGTTGCTAGGTGAGGTGAGGTCTTCTGACACAGGGCTTGTATCTAGAAAGCCCTGGCTTCGGGGGTTGTAGAGCGAGCGAGGCCGCAGTTGTCATAACAGGCAGACTTCCTGCAGCCCAGCTTTGCACTTTTTCTTCATTTTTGGCTCTTTCTTTCTGTTTAGAGCCAGGATTTCTAGAATAGTTTGGACTCTTACATGACTGGCCAATTGAAGACACCATGCCAGATTGTCTTGTGATTGTACTTTTTCTCATTAGGATGTAAAACCAGGCATAGTGTTGTCTGCAAGAGGACAGTTTTGATAAATCTTGGTCTAATTACAGCTGCCAGTTTTTAAAAGTCTGTCCTCTTTAATTAACTAAAAAGTCACTGGGTCATAATCACCATCCAAAGGAAACAAATATGGAGCCTTTAGTCCAATGGTACATTTAACTGTTGTCTGCATCTCAGACTGGGTGGCCCTTTTATTCAAATACAGTAGGACAGGAAGTGAATAGTGTCCTACCATAGAGTTCAGGGTTTCTTCTTTTTTTTTTATTTCCCCACCTTTTAGCTGACACTCATTTGGAGTGACTTTGTCACCTTTAATATCAATGTTCTTAGGCACCAAAAAGAAATATGATTTAGAGGTTCCTTTTGCCAGAGATTTTTCTTTAGTCCTGAAATCCCAAGCAATTGGTTTGAGTCTGAAAGATTATGTGGTGTTACCTTCAACCAATTATCTCAAACTATACTAAACAGATTCAAAAAATCATTAAAACGGAAATGATGGGGGAGATAAAAATTGATTCCAATTCTATAATCTCTTCCTTTTCTATAGAATCTAAGAGGTAAATGTTTATGGAAGTTCTCATAAGTTTGAGCAGTGCAGCCAGAATAATCTGATCAAATTTCTAATATCCAATAGTAGAGTCATCAAAATGGATAAAGAAATGAAAATTCCATTATCTTTCACTATGATCTGGAAATATTCAGTTCCTCTTGAAAAAAGGCCTCTGACAACCTCATATTAGATAGCCTTGTCTCACCATGCGACTCTACCAAGCCAGACTGAATTGAGTCCTTCCTCTTTACAGGCACTTTGGTCCTCCCAGGTAGCTCTTCAAAACCAAGCTTGGGGCAGGTGCCACAAGGCACGTTTACATCAAAATCCTTCTACCCCTCTTAGAAACTTGTATTTGCCAACCATGCTACAATTAACTTAAACCGAAGGCTGTTGAATACACCTGTAATAGTTTCCTTGTCTTGCATACCCTGTGTCTTCATAAATTTTCTCTTGGTTGATGGCAGGCTTCAATGGCTGAGAATAGTATACCTCTATACACTACCGCTTCCATGGGAAATCCCACTTTGGGCAACTTAGCCAGCGCAATACGGGAAGAGCTGAACGGGGCGATGGAGCATACCAACAGCAACGAGAGTGACAGCAGTCCAGGCAGATCCCCTATGCAAGCCGTGTGAGTATTGTCCACTCAAAAGGTCTTTGCCTTCAAGGCCTTTGTCTCTGTTTTATGTGCACACAGGCCCTTCTCTGGGCTCTTTGTACTACCTTTTCTGTAATTTCTGATTTCCCAGAACCCAGATAGAAGTCTCTGCTGCTAGAAATGTTTAGCATGGTTAGTGCATAAAAGGACTGTGTGCTAACTTGCCCATAAAAGCAATCAGCTTCCTCTAGTCCTAAAGAGCACACAGCAATGAAATGGGAAACACATTTGTTTTTTCTCTTCTTTTGCATCTCACGCCGTTATTGAAGCTCCGCTTCTTTTTTTCTCCTAAAATTAATATGCATCTCTCCATGAAAAAGTTGGCAGTTTGTTCAACTTTGACGTGTGCTGAACCTAGCAGGGAGAAAAAGATGCTTGTTTACTTGGTTGTGTGAGAAGCTTAACCGCGAATGCAGTGCCACGGCGTTATTACCAAGCATTAATGATGGCACAAATGAAAGGCGGCATGATTTATAGATTGCTCTTAAAATATCAAAAGGAAAATTAATAGGAGCATTATAGCAGCAGACGGCAGTATAATGAGTGCACATATAACTGAATGAAGTGATGGGCGACGGTCACCCATGCTGAATGTGAATGGCACCAGGACCATGCCAACCACAGGACAGGCGGAGGCCATGAAGCTGTGATTGTCCCCATGGGTGGGTGATGGGGGAGAATCGATGTGACTACACTAACCCCCTTTCTCCCAGGAAAAGTTTTAAAACGTAGAAAAGAAACCACATTATTCCAAATGATTGGATTTGTGGGAAATACTATGGAATGACAGTCTCTCCCTTTTAGTGAATCTCCGCGAAACTGTTTCAGGGACCAACACGTTCAGTGTTTGCAATACTGTCAGCTCCTAGAACAGGCCGCTTGTTTACATATTCTTTCTGAATTACTGACCAACATCTTACTTTAAAATAATTTGGGTGATAGCAGTGGAAAATATGACCTGTAACAATTAGAAACAGAATGAATTGGCATCTAATGACAGAGAAAAAAGCATTATCTGTCGGCATAATTGGAGGGTGTGGGGAAATCTGAAATTTGATTTTCTAGCATTTGCATTTCATTTCCAAAGTGCTTTGGAAAGGACCTTTAAAGATGGAAATAATCATTTTTAATTTATATGGACAACGTCTTAGCATTTACTGCACAACATTTTAAGAACATGTTTATCTTTCACACTGACGTTGCTGTATTTCATCCTTTCTAAAGCAACCTGCTGGTTCTGACTTTATTGTTTTCACTCTTGTGTTCATCTTTAAATCATTGTCATGACAGGAGTATTTACTCAGATATTAAGTTCAGAGCAAATGTTCATTGGTATATAAGCGACCTCAAGAAATACTCAAAAATGTCTGAAGTTATCGAATGGAAGAGATACTATTTCTCATAATCTCTACCAACTCCAAAGTTTAGTTAATGTTTATTCTTATTATTTAGTATAAAGGATCGTTAAAATAAAAGGAAAAAAGCTTTGGATACAAGCCTCCCAGGCAACAGTGTAGAGTGATAATAATTTTTCTGTACAAAATAAAGTCACTGTGAAGTTTAACAAGTTTGAATTAACCCCGGTATTACTGAAAACCGTGTTTTACAGCAGTCATCATAATTTTGAATGAAATGAAGGTTTCAGCTGGTTTTTAAAGGAAACCCTACATAAAGACGTCAAAATGTGTTGCTCAAATCTCACAGGTTTATGCTGTTTGCGAAATGTAATTATATGTCAACAGCAGATTCCCTGTGCCTGCTATCAGTGTCATAGACTGTTACTCTTTTTGACCTCATACTTCCATTAAGCGAATTCTATAATGACATAGTTTTCATTCTTGTCCAATATGCATTACCCTGCTATGATGCAAATTGTTTTTTAACTGTTCCAGTCTATTGGAATAAATCTAGCTGTAAACTTTACAGCACGGCTTGAAGGACCTTGTTAGGAAGGCAGCCTATCTAATATCTAGTGTTGAAACAGAGCTCTTCATTCTTACCCTTTCTGTGACTCTCACATACCACTCCCTTTCGTGTCTCCTTTGAAACACTAGAAAGTAGGCACATAATTATGGCTTTGGGGCATTATACTTTTATCCTGATAGGAGCTAAAGGAGCTACAAAGCAAAATACTCCATGCTGTGCATACACCCCCAGAACACAATGCCTTTAAACACCAGTCAGCTTTATTTAAAAACTCTTGTGTTCCCAGAGTGGCTAAACAAAGGAATTACTCAGATGTAAGGAGAAGAGCAATGTGTGGTTTTGCACAGTTATTCATGGGTAGCCCTTTCAGAAGTTGGGGTGGTGGGGAGGCAGCGTCTGCAAGGGGAAGAAGGTGCAGCTCAGATTTCTAGGAGACACTGTGTGTCTTGAATAGTTTGCATCTTATCTGAAATGCATCGTACGTGGAAATCCATCCTATTTTATTCTTTGAAGCACTGCATGCCTCTACTTCTATTTTGCCACACCCAGGGATATCTACTAGTACCAAGAAATGTCCTGAAATTGGGTTTCATGTCTCTGAAGTTTTAAGAAACCTTAACATTTAACCTAGGTTGTCACACAGTAGACTTAGCCAGTTAACGTTTGCCGGGAACCACTTTGCATTAGGCCACTGGGATTGAGCCAGCAGGCATGACAGGACCATTACCTGTGTCTTTGGGATAGTAAATAATAGTCTTAATGAATTTTGGCTGCCAATTTAGGGGAAAACCTTTTTTTTTTTTTTTTTGCTTCTAATGAATTGGGTCTGAAAGTAAGAATTGTAAAAATAATTCTCATAATAAGGTTAAGTCATTTCATTTTTCCAAAATAAACTGAAATTAAAAGAATTTGTATTTCTTAAAGTGGAATTGGGCTTCATTAATTAATTTTGGCTTCCAATTTGACAACAGATAGATTTGGGTAAACTTTTCTAGAGTAGTAAGGAAATTCACATTATGTAATTCAAGCAAACAACTAAAAATGTGCACCAAATTGCTAGACCTTTATCTATTGTTATAATGTATAAAAAATAGGTCCATAAATTGTAATGAAAATATGGGACTATTGCTTTAGACAGATTTAAATTGTATAGGATATAAATATCTATACATTAGCTACTCAACATAGTGTCGATATTTGGATTTTTACAAATCTGTATAGATAACAGGAAGATAATTTAAAATCAGTCACATTTTAACTATTAAAATGCAGTCGAATATACTCTGATAAATGTGCCCAGTTCACCTAAAATATGTATTCACTATATTTTGTTTACTTCTATGGCTTTTCCTTCTTGATATACTCTAGAGTTAAAATGAAATCTTTAGTTTGTTTTAAATGTTAAATATATAATGAAGAACTGATTAAATGTCTAATTCATTGATCTGAGAAATAGTTATTGAGATTCCCTGTGTACTAGGTATTAAAGTTAGAGAACATAAAGATAATAGTCTCTGCCTTTTTAAGGCAAACCGTCTAGTAGAGGGGACAGACAATAAACAAACACGTAAACAATATATATTTTAGAGTACACTGGTAGGGGACAAGCACTATGAAGAAAAATGAATTAGGAATAGAAAGTATGTTAGAGTTCTCTAGAGCAATAGAACCAATAGGATGAACAGATAGATAGATGATAGGTAGATAGAGATTTATCTTAAGAAATTTGCTCAAGTAATTGTGGAGGCTGGCAAGTTTGAAAAATTCAGCGCAAGCTGGCAGGCTGGAGACTCAGGGACAAGTT